TGAATTAAATGTTTTTCCGTCACAGGCTGTTTTTTTTTTTTTTTTTTTAAAAAAAAAATAAAATAAACAATATCAGTGTAAATTAAAGTTCTTGATAATGCCTTCTTGCAGATGTCGGGGTGCAGTGACCAGATGTATCAAATCCAGTCTTGGATGTTCCTTTCAAGGACCTCGAAGCGCCTTACAGTCTCATCTCTGGGAATGTCCTTTCAGGGATCAGAATGCTGGTGTGTGTCATAGTCATTTTGTTTTTTAAAGTGTTGAGCTAAGAATTGATATCACAGGACTCAGGACATTTGCATAAGTGCTCCATCCTCATCTTCCGCAACCAGTGAAGAAGTCCAATCCCGACGGTGCCATTAGCGGTTTCATTATATGTCTGTCTTGCCTTTCCTCTGAGTGAAGAAGTGTCAGATTCTCTGGTTACTCCTAGCTGTACCATTCTCTCCAGATTGTAAAAATCTGTTCGTGCCTTCACATTGTATACTTGCTGTCAAATTACCTTGACCACATCTATCTTGACATGTATAAATTCACCGCCTATTGATGCAGAGCCAGCAAGTTTATCTGCTTGTTAATTTCCCAATACACCAGTAAGACCCAGAGAAAATATACGAAAGGGTGTTGTTTAAAGCAGTGTTGTTTAACCTTTTTTACACCCATGAACCGGGAAAACAGGTAAGTATTCTTTTGAGGGGAAGGGGGCTGTTCAACTAAAAATTAAGGTCGAGAGAATGGACTTCATTGCACCAGGTTTAAGCACAGATTTTATAGCTCCTTTGACAACCCCTAGGAATCTCCAAAACTCCTACGATCATGAATCTGAATTTGAACCCTCAACCTTCAGAGCACAAGGCAAAGAGAATCTGTTCACTATGTAGACCCCCTCAGTGAATCATTGCCAGTGACTGTACTGCTGTGATCCCACCTGACAATAAGACCTGACTTGAAAATAAGCCCTGACATGATTGTCTCTTCACCATGCAGACCCTGTCATTGAATCATTGTTGGTGACTGTACTACTGTGATTCCACCTGAAAATAAGACCTGACATGATTGTCTCTTCATCATGCAGACCCTGTCGGTGATTCATTGTTGGTGACTGTACTACTGTGATTCCACCTGAAAATAATATCTGACTTGAAAATAAGGTCTGACATGATTATCTCTTCACCATGCAAACCCTGTCGGTGATTCATTGTTGGTGACTGTACTACTGTGATTCCACCTGAAAATAAGACCTGACTTGAAAATAAGCCCTGACATGATTGTCTCTTCACCATGCAAACCCTGTCGGTGATTCATTGTTGGTGACTGTACTACTGTGATTCCACCTGAAAATAAGATCTGACTTGAAAATAAGGTCTGACATGATTGTCTCTTCACCATGCAGACCCTGTCGGTGAATCATTGTTGGTGACTGTACTACTGTGATTCCACCTGAAAATAAGACCCGACTTGGAAATAAGACCTGACATGAGTGTCTCTTCACCATGCAGACCCTGTCGGTGAATCATTGTTGGTGACTCTACTACTGGGATTCCACCTGAAAAGAAGATCTGACTCAAATATAAACCCTAGCATAATTTTTCAGGATGCCCGTAATATAAACTCTACTCCATCTGTAGACCCTACTTAAGATTCTCAACCTGACAGACATATTTTGTTTATCCCCTTGATACACACGACAATTATATTGAATTATCAAGTAATGCATGTGTAAATTAATTAAATATTATTATTGGCATGTCAGTTTTAAATAAATGGCAGTGTATAGTATAATTACTTTTAAAATAATGACATATATATAATAAAATCAGATATCCCCTAAAAGACCCTTTTTTGGAGCAAAAATTTATATAAGACCTAGTCTTATCTTTGGGGGGAAACACTTAAATATGTTTACAGTTGGAAATTTGGCAAACAGTAGATTGTCAACAGTAAGATAACAATGAGCCAGAGCAATGATATACTAACTAATGCCATTTTCAAGATATCCAGACCACCAAGAAACAGATTATAAACAGCATATTCATACCACCGCCATTGACAGACTTGGACATTATCAAAGGCTAACAACCTATGTAAAATTTACACCTATAAAATTAGATGACTGAGGAAAGCCACCAACTTAACCGTCCGAGACAAAGTGAGAAATGATATTATCAGATTGTAAAAACACCATGCAGCAAATTCATTATGAAACAAGATCAAATGGTTCGGTCATCTGATTAGAATGCAGCCACAACTACCACCAACACAGGTGCTGCACATGAAAAGATTTGATGTGAAAGCAAGATGATGCCCTCGGAGAATATGAATTGATGACATTAAAGAACTTCTACATCGACACGGAATGACAACAGCCATTGCTGCCTATCAAGCGGTGGATTGCAATGTGTTCTTCCCCCCAACCCTTAAATAGAAGTTGTTGGTAATTAACATGAGTAGTTAATGCTTAAATTAACGGAGTGCTAGTTTCACCAACTAATCTAATCCGTGGTATATGCCTGAGGAAAGTGATGAACATAAAATAGGATACATTCAAGAGGATGGAAGAAATAAAAGAAATGTAGGATCAACCACTAGTATCACCAGTTATAAGACAGTGAAAGTGGCGCTGTACTGGACCGATTCCGAGAAGAGATTAACAGAGAATGATGAGACAGACACTGAAATGGGAAATAAGAGGGGTGGATGAAACAAGGACGTCCAAGAGAGGCCCTAACGTAAACACGGATGTGAGAAGCCAAAGGAGCTTGAATGGATTCCATCCATGATATCAAAGTGATTGCACAGTCTAAATGGAAGGCCGGATGACACTGAGCTCTTTGTGATATATATAATGTTGCATTAGGACAATGAATGAATGAATGAATGAATGAATGAATGTATAAATGAATACATGGCAAATTATAGCTGTCGGCATGGAATAAATTTACTTTTGTTGAGTTATTTATTTAATCATTGTGTTTGCTGTTCTTTAAGGCTGTAACAACTAATTGAGAGAGTCTATGAATAAAACTGTTTTGTTTCATGCACAGGCAGTTGTTTTTCTAGATGTTAATTGCTGCTGTTTTCAGTTCTTTCTTCTCATGTCATAAAAGTGCTTGAGAACACTCCAGTAGTGGTTAGATATTGATTTCCTTGCTGTTGTTTCATGCTTTGTGTACTCTGCTACAGTTTGTATAAAAAAAAAAATTCTTTATGGGGCTGATTAAAATGCATCATTTTTTACAGTTGGCAATAGTTGAGGGGAGGGAAAGATTTTTTTTTCCAGCCTGTGTTTCTCATGTGCCTCTAGATTTGTTTCTGATTATTTATAGTAATATTTTTATCTGTGATAATATATTTTAGTGAGTTGTTATTTTTGTGTGTGTGCTTCAGGCAATGTGTCTTATGTGTTTATAGGTAATGTGTCTTATCTGTGAATGTGTATTTTAGGCATCTTTGTTTCTCTAGGCACTGTGTCTCATTTCTGCCTCTATATTTGTTTCTGACAGTTTGTAATGATGTGTCTCATCTGTGAGTGTATTTTTGAAGCGGTTTTCAGCATTTAAAAAATACAAATAAAATGGCCTTGCTTCCAGGGCTGGCCCAGTCTAAAGTGGATTCCAGGAATGGCCTGGGAAGTAAAGGCAGGCGACCTGATGTTGACCACATCAGCATGTACCTGCTGATCTTAGTTAGTTGCGTATCCTTTACAGGACGTTGCAGAACCAACCCCAACAGCTTCTGGCTGTTGTGTGGTTTTTCTAGGAAAATTTAGGTCCAGTAGTTTGCAATTGATTTCTGGACGGTCGGCTCTCTTGATACCACTGTCGAAACCAATGCAAGGCGCATGGCCCACAGCTGGGATCGAACTCGGCATCCCGGCTTTACGAAGCGTTTGCATCGACTTAGCCACAGAGCCGACACCTGTTGATCTTACAGACAAAATATGGTCCGGCACTGTCTGTATGTATGCCTGTTGCATCGAAAGGTGTGAAAAGGGTCATTGACTTTTATTTACAAATGATCTTTTAGAGGATGAGTGTGGGGATTTTCTGTTCTAATAGTTAATTGCTGTTTAGCTTAGGAATACTTTCGTCATTTCTTTTATTTTGACTAAGCAGTTGTGCAAGTTTATATCTGCAAGTCATGTTTGTGTTAGTTTGTCAGTTTTTTAATGTTTTTTCCTGCATTTTATTTTGCATTTGTTATCATCTTTTGTGGGTTTTTGTTGTTGTCTTTTGTGTTTTTTTCCTCTCTTCATAAAGCCTGTTAATCAGCATGTATATAATTGTGATTAGAGAAAATTCACTAGGTTTCAGGAATAAGGTCACACTTCTTGACCTTCTTTAATTGAATTATGGACTTCCGTTTATTATGCCTGTGGCATTCTAACAGTAGTTATCTTTGCAGTTTCCTCCATCTATAAACCAAAAATAAATGGTTCCATCAACCAGCTACTGAGTTGAGTGCATGGCATGTCACAACCGTCAATTGCATTTTTAAGAAATTGGCAAGTTGCCTGTTGTCAGAGATAACTAGTGGTGCCTCATGCAATTAATTACATGTGCAACTGCTGAACTGTTCTAGCAGCTGCTTCCATGGAAGATGAACTGCATTTCTAGTGTCAGACTGTTTGTGCTGGCACTGCTGACTGCTGCTTTATATATTCAATGCGCGTGTATGTTGTTGGATTTGCCAAGACTGCAGTCTTGGGACAGTGATAGACTTCTTTATGGTTTTCGTTGGCATAGGAATGTAGCAACTAGGGGTAACCCATTTGCTGTGAAGTTGGAACTGCGATTACCTGATTCTCCTTCTTAAAGTCCATGTCATGTGGTGTTGGGCATTGGTGGTCATGCTTGTCCAAAACCTTTTCTGTCTCATGAACTTGCAGTCACCTCTGACACAGATGATTTTCCATGCAGTATGTCAAACTGTCCAGCATCTTCTCTCTTAATATCCCTCGGCCTCTACCTGATTACCTGATCATATTGAATCTTTCCCAGGTAAAAACCCAGTCACGGATGGGGAAGTTTCCACGATTGAAATTGAGAGGAAAGAAGGAGAAAGCCTTGGAATCAGTGTGGTTGGGGGATGTGACACACCACTGGTGAGTCTTGGTGATTGTCTCTCAGTGTGTTGCTTCTTAATGGAAGCTTTTCTTTGATTCCCAGTGATGATCAAAACAAATGTAATTTTACAATTACTCTTTTTTTTTTATATAGTTCCATACCTGTTTTCATCTCTCTCTCTCTCTCTCTCTCTCTCTCTCTCTCTCTCTGTGTCTGTCTCTCTACACACATTAACACACACACGCACTCACACACACACACAGGTGCACAGACACACACACCCATCAATATATATATAATATGAGTCAGACTTGGAGAGTAGGAGTAATGAAGCCCCTAGGGACATCTGTGGTAAAATGCAGATGGATGGAAGGTGTCGCAGCCTCTGCTGTAATATAGAGATATGTGCGGGCAGGACATGAGTGATACATGTATTGAGGTACATTCATGGTAACAAAATGTCCTCCCTGTTTCTTAGAAGGACAGATCGGGAAGGGAATGGGAGTGGAGGGAAAAGTGATTGCAGACGGGGTGAGAGCAGTGTTTATCTTACACATGTTGCGTATGTTTATGTATGTGTGTGTGTGTGTGTATGTATGTATGTATGTAAAACTAGTATTACTGATTAACCTAATGTTTAATTAAGAATCGACGTCACAGCACTCAGGACATTTCCATAAGCGCTCAGTCCCCATCTTCAGCAGCAAGCGCTAAGTTTCAGTTTCAGTGGTACCAATAGCAGTCTGATTGTATATCGGTCTCACCTGTTGTATATTGGTCTCACCTTTCCCTTGAGTGTTGATCGTCGACCAGATCCCCTAGTCACTCCTCGCAATGTAATTTCAACCTAACTGATAGTACTAATTTAACTTTGTTGTGGCTGCTAGGTGTGCACAGTTATACAGGAAGTGTTTCCAGGTGGCGCTGTCTCTCATGATGAACGTTTGATTGCAGGGGACCAGATTTTGGAGGTAAAGTTACTTAACTGTGTCTTCGTTAACTAGTTTTCATTATCACAGTTGTTTGTGCTTTATTTAAAGTTGAGGAGAAACAAAGGTAGTCTGGTACCATCAAACAGTGCCACAGTCTAGTGAAAACCACAGTGGAGAGAGAAGTCAAAGACAGAAGAAAAGTTAACGAAAATAACATTAAATATTAGGAAGCTCAATAAAGTAAAGGGAAAAGTTTACTCAAAAAAAAAACAAAAAAAAACCACACGTCTTCTATCAAAGTCTGTGTATATGAAAGAAGCAACAAGAATCCTACAGGGCTAGAATGGATTATAAGTTGTGAGATAAGAACCAACATCATAGCACTCACAACATTCCCATAAACGCTTCTTCCTCATCTTCAGCAGCAAACATGAATGGAAGCTGTCTTAACCCTTTCGCTGCTACGTTCCCGGAAATAGTTGTCCTCCCTGTGCTAAGCAATGTGAAAAAAAAAGTCTGCTGTGCGCAATACTTTTCTATCCTCTAAACGCAAAAGATGCGTCCGCGGTGAGGGCTATGTTTTGTACACCTAAAAAATTTTACCCTGGGGAGTTGTGTGGTTGGTCCGAGTGGTGACAAGTCAGAGGCACGATGGTGCCCCACAAACAAAACGTAACTAACGGAGCTATCACCCTTGGGGGGGGGGGGGGGGGGGGAATTAATGGGAGGAACTGTTCCCAGTCCGTATCCCAAAATTTGATTGACGAACCTACCACGGCTGCCACTTTAATCATATTTACTTATATTCACCATGTTATTACATACCAAAATAATTTTTAAAAAAAATCATAATAATACTCAAGTCGTCCGTTGCTGAAAAGTAGCAGGAACTCAAAGGAAAATTTACAATTAATAAAAAAAAAAAAAAAAAAAACTTCGGGGGTTGAACACACGACCCTCTGATTCTAAGGCGAACGTGATACCAATTACACTATGCAACCGCTTGACGCATTGCGCTGTGTAAATGATCATAATGAATGATGTGCGCAGACTATCAATAATGTGTCTAAGTTTGTAGTCTATCGCCGCCTGCATGAGCACTGTTGTCTAAGAAATGTTTGGGATTCTCAACAATAGTAAAAATATGTCCCTCGACATTATTTTACGGGAGTTTTTAGCAAACAGTCTTTGCTCAAGTACTCTATTTTGAGTTTCTTTGTTCTAAGCATTAGCAGACAGACAGAAACAAAAATTAGTTTCGTCCGAATCTGTGTCTGTCCATCGGGAAAGACGAGAAATTTTAGTGACTTAACTGTCTGAATTTACAGTAGCAGAAATACAGATAGAGCTGGAGTCATCAAAATCATGCACTACTGGTTTCAAATCATCGGTTCATCAAGATAACTGATCAATTTATTGCCGTTTTGGTGGCGCTTCATTGTCGCTGCTCTCTGATTCCGACGATGAGGACGTCGGACAGGCAAACAGCTTTTCTTGGACACGCCGGTTTCACCAGTCGATACTGATGGCCTAGTCAAATCTTCTTGTTCACTGTCAGAAGTACACATTTCAAAGTCATCGTCGCTATCACTTTTGACAGAAACTCCATCAATTCTTCATCAACTTTATCCAGTTTTCTTGCCATTTTGTATTAAGTGTAAAATAATCCAAAAGCACAAATATATATCAGGGCACAAAATACACAGATCACCGACCACGCTGTCACGGTAAACAAAGCAACGGGATAACGCAAAATGCAGTAAACACACCTTAAACACGCCTAAAAGTACGTGCCAGTGCTTTTAATCATATGTAAATGGGTCAGTTTCATCTAAATATAGCTATTGTATATTGCCCTTCAGTCAATAAAATACGAGGTAACAGAAATCTGTAAGAAAAGTCCAAAAACGGCTTAGGACGTCCATAGCACTGGGGGTGAAGAAAAAAAAATAACGTCCAAAGATGGGCGTAGCAGCGTCTGGGAAATCGGGAAAAGACGTCCATAGCAGCGAAAGGGTTAAAGGTAGGCACTAGCTTACTTGTCCACACTGGACTGCAGGTTACTTTTTATCTGTAGGGTCATAAAAACGAAAACACTGTAGTAATGATTGTATTTGCCACTTTTGCAGTGAGGGCAGAGAGAGACTTTGAGTCGCATGGCTGTTGCAGTCACTTTGGACTGTGTAGGCCAGGATGTTGTTTTTGTTTGTGACAGAAGAAACCTAGAACCTTATTCAAGACCCATACCTGAGACTCTTTCATGAGAGCCCAATACTCTCAACCCATTTGGCCAGCCGCTGCTAAGCCATAGGGTGTTCTAACATAATTGTGTTAATGTTTTCCTGAAAAAAAAAGACCTACCATGAAAATAAGCGCCAGCACAATTTTCAGGGTAATTTTACTATAAGCCCTGCCATCAAAAATAAGCACTGATTAAAATCATTGGCTAGAATAAGAGTCTTGTTGCCAAATGGCCAGTTGGAGTACAGAGGCCACCAGGGCGCAGTTGATAATGAATGGATGCTGTTCTGTAGAAAATGGGAGTCACAAGAAATGCTGGCCAGAACTCAGGATTTTAGGAGTTATGATAAGTTTCAGAAAGAGGAACATGACTATTTAAATAAATGTAGATTTTTCAATCCCAAAAAAAATTGTGCATTTTTTTAAAGAAAAATTAATATAAGACCTGGTTTTTTTTCGGGGAAAACAAAGTATACAGATTAGCAAGTTTTCTGGGATTCACTTCTGTTGGATTCTCATTCAAATAGGGCTTCTTGAGTCACTGGATGTTGATCTTTCAGGCTCCAATCCTGAAGAGGAAGAGAAAAGGTAATCCACGCTGTAGAAGAGGCTGCACGCTGTAGAAGAGGCTGAAGTAACAAATGATATAATAAGGGGTGTTGAGACACTGATAACCCTGTGGTGGGTTCCGGGGCTCCGTTGTGAGGAGAAAAGACTGACCCACTGACCTCTAACAAGTGTGTCGTAAAAGTAAACTAATTAGGGGTATTTCCTTCAAAGTCGGAATACATCTGACTGAGAGGTGAGGAACCAGCAGTCTGCATACAGATGAGCCAGATCTGTAAAATGGACGCGCAAGCAAAACTCAAGTTTTGGCACCACTCTCAAGTCCAGAAGGGGCCGAAAAACTAAGACTTTCTGCCAGTGAACACGAAGAAGAACAGGCGCTGATGAAATTTGTTTTATTTATTTACTCAGGTCAATGGAGAAGATCTCACGCAAGCCACACATCATCAGGCTGTTGCCACTTTAGCCCAGTTCTTTCCGGTGTGTCGCCTCACAGTCTACAGGGAGAGAGCGGAGGATAGTCGGCCTATAGAAAAAGAAGGTAGGTCGGATGGAAAGGAAAAGTTGGGATTGGCATGATAAATGTTCATCATCATATTGTTGTGCAGTTATGTTACATATGACTAACACTCTAGTCTTCCATAGGTCTATCACCCAGCTACTGAGTTGAGTGCATGGTGCAACACTGTGAGTCTTCTGATTTCATGTACAGTATTTTTCAACAGTGCCTAATGTGGTTTATTTTGAAATGCTGCCATAGAACTGGTGGCGCCTTATGATGTGTGCAACTATTGTTATGTTGGAACTGCTGCTTCCAACGATTATGAACTGCATTTCTGATGTCAGACTGTTTGTGTTGGCACTTCTAATGGCTGCCTTGTTCATTGAATGCATGTGTATGCTACTGGCTTTGCTGAGACTGCAGTCTGTATCAGTTTTTTCACAAGGGACAGTGATGGACATTCTGTGTGGGTTTTATTGGCACAGGAATGGAGCAACTGTTAGGTGACCCATTTGCTGTGAAGTTGTATCTGTGGTTAACTGATTAACTAACTCTAGTCTTCCTTTCTAATCTGTCCTCTGAAATCCTTTCAATACCATGGATGGATTCCAGTCCTGCACCTTTGGCCTCTCTGGTGTATGACCATAAGTGTATGTATGAGTTTGTGTGTATGTGTGTGTATGTGAATATGTGTATGCATTAGTATATATGTGTGTACATATATGAGAGTGTCACTGTGTGTGTGTGTGTGTGTGTGTGCGTGCATGCCTGTGTGCCTGCGTGTGTGTTTTCTTTTTTGCTAGTAGTTTTGCATGGGTATGTATGAGTGTGTTTATGCATGCATGTATGAGCATAAGTATATATGTAGGTAGTTATGTTTATATGTATGTGTATATATATATGTGTATATATGTATGTGTATATATGTATGAGTGAATGTATATGTATGCATCTACCACCCATGTTTTTGTGTATTTAACTCAGTATTCATATAATGTATATTGTTACATAAACATAACAATTCTTTACAGATATAGAATTTCTGTGTGAAAGATGCTTGTTTGAAAGGGCCAAATTTAAAAGACAGGCCTGCATACCCAATCTGTGACCCTTTGGAAATAAAGTTTTGTGTTCATCCATCAGTTCTCTCATCAAGGCTCATCTTAGGGCAGCTGTTCTAAGCCTATGCGTTATGCATTAGGACCCTTTTGTGGGTTTAACTACCCTCTCACAGGGTCGCCAAAGACCATTGGAAAACACATATTCACTGAAGTCATTTTCCCACGAAAATAATTATATGGTTGGGGGTCGCAACAACATGAGGATCTGTATTAAAGGGTCGCCATATTAGGAAAGTTGAGATCCAGCTGTCTTAGTGGGTCTCTCTCAACATTCTAGTTTCCTTAGTCCATTTGTTTCCCATTCCAGTGCCTGTTTAATGATTCATTTCTCCTCTTGATATGCCCAGTACTGTTGCTGCCTTCTTTCTTTTTATGTCTTTAATACAAGCCTTGACCGGACATTTCTTTTACTTCTTCACAATTCATTAATTCATTCCATTTAGAGTTCATCACTTTCCATATTTATATTTTTTTTAAACATATATTTAACTTTGTTCAGTGTCTCTAGTACTTCTCGAACTTTCACTGGAAAAATGTTAATAAATAAATAACATTTGTATTGCTTTTCTGGCTGCCGGTGATTTTATGGGAGGGGTATAGTATCAGACGAGCTTTGAAGGATTATATGGTCTTCACTGTTTGAGGAGCACTTTGGAGTGTTGATCCTGTTAACATATTGCCAGGAATTGTCATGGAAAATCAAAAAAGAAGTTCATCTCATTAGTGGGATAGAAAATGCTTTTATATGATGCGCTAGTCCTATTGTTCATTATTGGGATAGAAAATGCTTTTATATGATGCGCTAGTCCTATTGTTCAAGCTGGCAAGATGAAAATTCATAAATGTGTGCAGCTTTTTTCCCCCACCTTGATGAGTGTTAGGCTTATGACATTAACCCTTTCGCCACACGATAGATTTAAAAATAAATCAAACGGGTTGTGAACCCATGGTAATTTACCCCCAAAAATCCAGATAAAACAACTATTTGATATAAGTAGCTAATAAATGGCTGAAAAATGTGTTTATCTACATTTATAAATTTGTTGTTGTTGAAATATATAAAGTAAAGGGAGTAAAGAGTAAACAAGAACAGAATGAAGCATTCAATTAAATGCATTCTCCGGGGTCTAAAACTCAGTTTGTATAGGGTGGTTCATGCTGTAATCCTGTAACGTCTATCAGTAAGGCTTCTGGGAAAATCTACTAGTGGTTCTCAACTGTCCAAATGCCGCGACCCTCATGTTGTGGTGACCCCCAACCATAAAACTGTTTTCGTTACTGCTTCATAACTTCACAGCTGGATTTAAAACGGATTTACAAAGAAACCTCTTTCTCAGTACTTTTTTGGGGGGGGTTAAAATATTCTCATCTGGGCCTCCTAAACACTAGGCAGGTGCACATAGAACCAGTCTCAGTAAACTACACTTTTCAAGAACAGTTCACTGCAGAAATGGCAATGTAACTTAATGCATTTACATCGCTGTGTCACAACCGGAAGTGACTAGAATTAGCTTTCTTGAGGCAATATGGTTAAAGACATTTGTATATCGGCAGTCAGACTCCTAATTCATTACCAGTTACAGCGTGCTTGTTAGGGGTTGGTGGCTCTGTTTTCTTCTTCCCCCCCCCTCCCCCCAAACAGGGAGCTGTATCCACACGGTTTAAAAATAATTATATCTTTTCCATCCAGAAACACTCAAGATAACACTTTGCAAACACAAGGGAAAACAAATGGGGATCAAACTTGTTGGCAAAAGGTAAGAAACATTACGTCAACAGTATTATATGTAAAGAATTGTTTTTGTTGTAGTTTTCAAAGCCAAAGCAAAGTAGCCAAAGAAAAACTACAGTTGGCTTTCAGACAGGCCGGAGATAAAAGACTGGATTCTAAACTGGATGCTGAAAGTGTTGCACAGGGTAGGGTAGAACAGTATGGTGGAATTGACTGCAAGACCTATATGTTGCATAACTAAACAGCACAAGGATATTGAGTGTAAAGAAGTTTGTAAATAAGTTACACTGAGTGAACCAACATCATAGCAATCGGAGCATTCTGATAAGTGCTTATTCCCCATCTTCAGCAGCGAGCAAAGAGTTCTAATTCCGATGGTACCAGTATGATTGTATATCTGCCTCACCTGTTCAGTAAGTGTCAAGTGTCAGCCAGATCCCCTAGTCATCATCGTGATCTGTGTGTGCCTCTGCACTTATGGCTCACTCCCAAACGGCCCTTTACACCATCTAGCCTCATAAGTTTGTAAGAGTTAAAACAATTCAGCAATGGGACAGAACTAGGTAAACTAACAATTGGAGAATAATGAGTTAATATACCAGATTTATGAGATCAAAGATGTTTGGAAACATGTACGATGTATAGCATAAACTGAACACTAGGGAGTTGTTTGGTACTTTTTTTTTTTTACTTGGTCGATCCTCTACTAACTTGGGGTGTGGCGGTTTGCCAGAGAGATGACCAGATTTTTCCATCAGCAAATTTTTGTTCTTTTTTAGTTTGTTGCATTCCAGTCCTCTGTCAGTCAGGAACTGTCGGATGTTGTCTTCCCAGCGAACCCTGGGTCACCCTGGTTTCTGGTTCCCTGGTTCTTGGCCTCCCATGTCTGCCATGGTGGCCATTTCTCCCCCATTCTGCATACATGTCCAAACCATTGTAATTGTGACTGATTCACCTGAGTTTGTGAGGTCTGGATTAAAGGTCATGGCATATTGTCATTGTCTGGTTGTCAACTGTTCTTTGGTACTGAAAGAGTTAAATTGCGTACACTTGTACGTTTTTCCCTCTTCTAATTCATCTATTTAAACGACTATCATTTCCATCGCCCTGAACACTTCTTGTTTCCGTTATTCTTCTTCTTCTTCTTCTGCGTTCATCCGAAGATGTAATTGCCCGGTGCTCATTTACAGCATGGCTGGGATATTTGTGGCTGTTGGCCGACACATCCAGCTTCTGCAAGCATATGTTGACCTGGTTAGCCTTCCCAGGTTTCCTTTCTGCTTACCAGATTTTATAATTGTTTTTTTTTAAATATATTAACACATGTTTGTGATTGACACAAATGTTGGATTTTTTTATTACATAGTCGTTAGATGCTCACCTGTCAGGCCAAAAGGTCTCTTTATTTTGTTGTTGTTGTTACAAATGTGACATTTTCTCATGAGGAAAGTCAAGATGGTCCTGTTATCAGACTGCTACTGGCTGCTGAATATGAGGACTATGCGCTTATGGCAATGTTCCGAGTGCTGGAATGTCAATTCTTAGCTCAACACCCAATGCAGCACCCAGCCTATAATGGATAGCAGGAAATGTCCTAGAAAGTAAAGGATGCCAAGAGGATGACCACAGCAGCTGCCAAATGCCAACTGGTTTGTAAAAGGCATAGGTTTAACACTATATGCCCAGTGTGCCTAAGGAATTAACAGTGTCCATTCTTCTTCTTCTTCTGCCTTTCTATCCCCCAATGGAGCATAGGCCCTCAACCAACTCACGCCAAGTCGTAGTGTCCATTACTCACTAGTTTACATTGGTTGCATCCATTGTATAGTGTTATAATATTATATGTATCTTAGCTTGGGTATTTGTTGTGTACATTTCTGCCAGTAGGGAACACTGTATATTGTCTAGTACATAATTGCTTTGCAAGCATTTGTTCAATTTTTCTGTAATTTATATTTGACAGGAATGGACCTGGAGTGTATATACTGACATTGGTGAGCCACTTTTGCTTTATTTTCTTCTCTTTCATTAAGTATTATTTTGAGATTTGGTTTCTAAAATCAAAACCAAAAATTTAACCTGAGCAGCAGAAAGTGGGCCGGGTGACTGGTACTTTGTCCTTACTCAGTCAGTAAAGGGAATCTGCCATCCTGTGGTTATTATGTTGCTGGCACCTTTTCGAATGTCCAGCTAATAGTGTTATATTGTGCTGTAAGGAGGCATGGGATTCACAGCCCAAACCTCTCCATAGCGTTAAAAGAAAGGGGAAAACAATACATGAGGACAGCGGCGCTTACCAGACAACCACGTCAAGCATGACAATGGAAATAGCCGCTGCTTCTAGAGCTTTAGCATGGGTATCCGAGCAAACCGCCACACAGGTAGTAATTGTCTCAGACTCAATGAATATGCTTCAGAAGATAGCAACAGGCAGTATGCGCTCTGAATGGATAGAAAGCATCAGGAAATCGCACTTAACCTCCGTAACCTGGATCTACACACCGGGTCATGCGGGCGTGAAGGGAAATGAGTGAGCAGACCAACTGGCAAGCACTGCACTAATGATTGCAGGAAAAAGTATGGACAGAGCAGACATAGTCAACGCTGTACGAAACGGGCTAGTGGAGAATGAGGAATCCCTGACACTAACACGATTGCGTGACATGGGAGTTAAGCATGGTGATGCACATCTTTGCCGTCTTCGAGGCCGAGAAAGGAGACAATATAACCAGCTTCTCATGGGGACAATTAGTAGAAGTACTTTAGAGTGGCTGCTGCTTCGGAGAACTGAACACGCATGGGTATGCCCAATGTGCAGTGACATTAATTGTGATAACAGAACATAAAATAACATCTTAGTAGGGAGTCGGCAGTACGAAACCCAAGTTCAAGGTGTCTCCTTCGTGCCAAAGAACTGCATGGCTGTTGGGTGAACAGTCGTTAACGATGGCAAGTAAGTCGTTGTAGGGGCGAGCCTGCTGGTGGATGTAATGTCCTAAGTCCCTTCCCCAGCTAATAATGAGGGTACTGCTGGGGTGACCGTTTATTAACCCTCATATAATTCTTCCGGTCAAAATGGACGCTAGGTACGGCCACCTTTTTTTTTTTTTTTTTTTAAGCCGTGGCAAATATTTTTCCAGACGGTGGCCGTTGCATTTTTGCTCCATTTGTAGACTGGAAGGATGTAGTTTCGTCGCCCAGCTTCTGAGTTGAGTGCATGGCGTGACACTGTGAGCTGCGTTTGTTTTTCGTTGGCACAGGAGCGGAGCATATGTGGGGTGACCCGTTTGCTATGAAGCTGAAACTAGGATAACCAGATTACCAGATTACCAGATAGCATTAAAGCCTGCGTAGTAGCCTGATCCCTCTCCCAGCCTGCCTTGTTCATTGCAGGGAACAAGTAACACCAGCATGTTTAGAACAAAGCAGGCTGCAGAAGTTGCTGGATCAGAAGAGCAGTGCTGTATCTGGAGCTTCCCTTCTATACTAACTGCCAGCCAAGGCTAAGGGCATGGTCTGCCATGTTGTAACATTTTCAAGGTTGCATTTCCTCATCCTATGATAAGGCTGTAATCCTCCCTAATGTGCTCCTCTGCCTGAAGCCGTTGGCACAGTCTGGGATGTCAGGCTGGCTTATACTCTGCGTAACATCCAACTTTAACAGAGACAGTACCTACTGCTGTTGTAGCATAGCTGTGACCAAAACCTGATTGCCTGCTTTTTATGTAAACTGATAAAAACAGGGTTGCTTCGCCGGAACTATGGAGTTTGTACTCTGTGAGGCGCTCTTGGCAGGCGGCTAGCAGTTCTACGGAGAGAGACTGAACCATTTGGGATAAAACCCAGTGCAGTGAAGTCGATCCTCTCGACTTTAACCTTTAGTATCAAGAAATTAATCCACTGAACTTCGACTAAGAATCTTAACGAAGGTAAGAAGGGGAGAAAACACACAGGAAGTCACATTTCCGCAGCAGCCTTTAAACAAAAACCTGCGATAGCAAGAGGGAGAGTATCCTGGGCACCAGGGAGGTATTGAAAAACTATAAAATAGGGAAAGAGGGAAAGATGTTAAAGAACAACTCAAATAAATAAAGGAAGGGATGGTGAAAAGATGATGTTGAATGATTGTGAAATGTTTCGTTTCATTATTATTACTATTTTTGCTTCTTCATTCATCTTTATATCTTAGTTGAGACTGACCTAAGCATCTTTTACCCATCTGTAGTTAACCATAGAGGATATCCTTAAAGACTCTACCTTAATCCATCTTCCATGTGTGACCTAGCATTCTGAGCCATTGATAACATCATTGCATAACCAGGTCACAAATCAGCTGGTTATAGAACAATGCATCAGTCACGTGTATGTAAATGTCTTCGTTTCTTTCTAACCTTAGATTCCTGGCTCTCTGGCCGCATGTGATGGCAGACTGAAAATGGACGATCGTGTCTTGGAAATCAATGGTCAGGATGTTTCCTATGGTACCCAGGAGCAGGCGGCTTCCCTCATCATCTCCAGCCCTGACCGTGTCCAGTTTGTTATAGCCAGAAGGTCGAGGCCCCAGACCCCTGACATTATCAGATCGGCAGCCGAAAACAGCAAGTACGCTGCATTTTCTGATGACTTGGAGAAGCCTATTTCACCTCTGTGCCTAGTGTGCAAGGAGAAAATCGTCACAATTACCAAAGTAAGTTACACGTTATTTAGTTTAAAGTTAGTTGCATATCCTTTCCAAGAGATCGCACAGCAACCCCAGCATTTGTCGACTGTTTTTGGTTTTACTCGCCGCCGCGGATTGGACAAAAAATATTAGACAAAAGGCATGGTGTCAGGAAGGAGGGGTGGGGGAACAACCAGCACAAAGATGGGCACATGATATAAGTGACTCCTTGGGTATTATGAAAGTGCACGAGTCAGGAGAGACTGAGTTTCTTTCAGGCAGGCTGTGATGAAGGCAGCGTTCTATAAAAGGCCCTGCTACAAAATGATGATAGTTTTACTAGACAGTGTTACATTCAGTAGTTTGCCATTGCTTCTGAACTGTTCATGATCCTACCTTTGTTAAAATAATCACAAATGTAGTCAGTGTATGGGAAGGTAATATGCGCATGGTAGGGTAATTAGTGAGCATTAAGGTAAGCAGCATATGATGTGGTAATCAGTAACTGGGGATGGGACCAGTAAATACTGAGGTAATCAGTGTGTATAGTGAATTAATAAGTTTATTTTGTGAATTCATTGGCGTATGGTGAGGTAACCACAGTAACATCCCTTGATACGCCAGTGGTGCATCGAGGAAATGAGACTTATAGCAGCCCTCAGTATGTGATGTGGTCAACATCATGCTGGTCGCCTTTACTTCCCAGGATTTTACCTGGTACCTATTTAAGGCTGGGTTGCCCTGGAAGCCAATATCATGTTTGAAAAAAAATGTGCATTTGAACCCAAGAACGTTGGATCTGCAGGCGAGTGTCTAGCTGCTACACCATGGTGGCTCCCTAACCACTGTTTGGTGAGAAAATCTTTGCTTCTTCTTATAGATCATGGTGTATAACGTTGGTATCCTCTGCCTCCGCCCCCTCCTTCTTCCAGTTTTCCTATAGAATATAGTCTCCTGAAAAGTGCTGGTAGTTATGCGTACACCAGCTGTAAACTCCCACGAAAAGTTCTGGCTGTTTGTCCACCTTTGGACTTAAGTCTTCTTCCAGAACCTGAGTGTTGCATGCGCATCCATTTAACTTTTCTGGACTATGTTTATGCACACTCTCAGTTCCTTGCCTTTTTAGTTGATGCACTCTAACCTCAAAGGATGTCCCCAGTTAGTCGACTCCTAGGTCATGCTTGTTTGGGAGGGAGTGGGTTTATTCTTGTTTCCCCCCACAGTGGGATCCAGAACCCACACAGGGAAAACTACAACCTACTGTTAATATTTTGCAAAGAAAAGTTACACACTGCATTAGTAATTAGAGAGGACTAACATCACAGACCCTGGACAGATGCATAGGTGCTCCGATCCCTTCCTCAGTTGCTCCTCAAGCATACACTGACTGATAATTCTTGTTCTATGTTGATTAACTGATCATCTTGTGTTCTTAATAAAGTACTTATTTCTGGCAGCTCCAGGTTGTACATAGTGCATTAATTCTTATCACTGTAAGGATGGGGAGTCGTCGTGGTGGAGCGGCTAGACGCTCGTGGTGGATCAGAAGGTCGTGAGTTTGCTCTCTGGCGGAGCTGGACTTTTAAAAAAAAAAGACATGGGCTCTAAGGTCGACCCAGCCTTGAGTGGGTACCGGGTGCAGTCCCGGGAAGTAAAGGCAGCCGGCGTGATGCTGACCACATCCACCATCGTGTGCTGATTGGTCTATAAAAATATAGGTCTAGCCCTATATGCCTAAAGGAGTGGAAAAGGGTCCTTTACTTTTTTTTTAAAAACTTGACTTACTGTCGGGATGAATTAAAAACTGGACTGTTTTCATTAGGACTTGCCTGAGACGTTGGGAGTGAGTATAGCAGGTGGGTTGGCCAGCCATCGTGGGGACACACCAGTCTACATCACCAACATCAACCCTGATGGTTGTGTGGGCAGGACAAATGTCTTGAAGGTCAGTAATGCTCCGTAACTTTAACTCTGCTGTTCCTCATGTGGGTCGGGGTCTGATGCTGCCATTTTCACTGTGATTATTGTGCTAAATTGGGTTTCTGCTTTGAATCTATCTGGAACTGAAAGAGTTAGGTAAATATTTAAACTGTTATCATTTCTATTGTCTTGAACACTTCTTGTTTTCTTTCTTTTACTTATTCTTTTTCTTCTTCTTCTTCTTTTTCTTCTTCTTCTTCTTCTTCTTCTTTTTCTTTTGCGTTTATCCGAAGATGTAACTGCATGGTACCTGTTTACAGCATGGCTGGGATATTTTTGCCTTTCAGCCGACATTCCGACTACTGATGCCAGTGATCAGTGATGATTTAAACATTAAACAGATAATGAATTTCATTGTTGCTTCTCACTCTCCATTCCTCGCTGTTTGCATTTTTGATGGGTCCAGTGATTTGTCGTAAAAAGAATTTCAAATGGATTTAAACGGACATCACTACTGTAAGTTCACACATACAAAAAAACGTTTTTAAGTAACTTTTTTGTGTTTGTATATTATTTTGTATATTTACTTTACATTAAGGGAAGTAATAACTAAATATTGCCTGATGGTTGCTGTAAATACTGGAAATAGGACTATCACAGGTGACAAAGTTAATTTAGATTCTCCACATATTTGATAGTAGATAGAGACTCACTGTGGGCCCAAAGACATCAAGCCATCAGATACCTGTAAATACTGGAAATAGGACTATCACAGGTGACAAAGTTAATTTAGATTCTCCACATATTTGATAGTAGATAGAGACTCACTGTGGGCCCAAAGACATCAAGCCATCAGATACCTGTAAATACTGTAAGGACTATCACAGGTGACAAAGTTAATTTAGATTCTCCACATATCTGGTAGTAGATAGAGACTCACTGCCAGCCCAAAGGTTTTAGTTTCGACTCAGCATCAAGTTCAAATTTTTAAAATATTTTTTTTTTTAAATTGACTTTGATTGACCCAGCCTTAAATGGGCATCATATGATGTCCTGGGAAGTCAAAATGGTCACTTTGGTGTTGACAAAATCACCCACCAAGCACAGATTGGTCTGTAAAATACAAGTCTAGCACCATATACCCGATGCAGCACTGGTGTCAGAAGGGTCCATTACTTTTACTTACCATCTGTCTGTTGACCCATTTCAGGCTTTTACTTTAACTTACCATCTGTCTGCAGACCCATTTAACACTTTTTCTTAATGTCTGTCTGCAGACCAATTTAACACTTTTACTTACTGTCTATCTGCAGACCCTGCAGACCCATTTATCACTTTTACTTTTGTCTGCAGACCCATTTAACACTTTTACTTACTGTCTGTCTGCAGACCCATTTATCACTTTTACTTTGTCTGTCTGCAGACCCATTTAACACTTTAACTTACCGTCTGATGACCCATTTAACACTTTTGCTTTTACTTACTGTCTGTCTGCAGACCCATTTAACACTTTTACTTACTGTCTGTCTGCAGATCCATTTAACACTTTTACTTTTGCTTACTGTCTGTCTGCAGACCCATTTAACATTGTTTGTGTTTATCGTGTAGAAAGGGGACATCCTGCTGTCCATCAACACCACCAGTCTTCTCAACCTGACCCACCTGGAGAGCGTCAAACAGATCCGCACCAACTCAGAGGTCAAAGTTCTGACACTCAGGGTCATTGACTCCAGGGAAACTTCTCAGGGAGATCACAATTTCACACCTTCTTGGATTTACTGGTTGCAGATGCCTCAGTAAGTTAATATACATAATATGACAGATCTTGGTAATATATTACAGAGCTACTGTATACAACTAGTCGATACTACCTGTTCTGTTAACTTGGTCAGGTATGACTGAGCTACTGTATAACAGTAAAAAAGGTAAATTCGGGAGATGTGAACCAGCGTCATTGCACACGGTTATAAACCATAAGTGCTCTGCCACCAGTACGGACAGCTGATAAGAAACTGTCCGCCTGTGTCGCCGTCCGCACATAACTCCGTAGCTGCAGCGACGTTCCTCCATTTACCCCAGAGTGTCAACTCTGGTACCCATCACCCAGAGGCTGGGTGAACCCTGGGAACTGCCCTGTTTCGAACACCGATTGTGGGCTGCAGTGAGTTGCAGCTGGATTTGAAAGTGGGTCTCCTATTGACTGCGCTAGCTACCCTTTCTCTGTTAACTTGGTCAGGTTTAACTGAGCTACTTTATAACAGTAGTCGGTACTACCTGTTTTCTGTTAACTTGGTCAGATATGACGGATCTGCCGTATAACAATAGTCAGTACTACCTGGTTATTTTAACTTGGTCAGCCTAGGTAAATATTTTAGTTTAGAATCAACACCAGAACACTCGGGACATTCTCATAAGTACTGCATCCCCATCTTCAGCAGTCTTGCCTTTTCTCTGAGTGTTGAATTTTGGCCAGGTCTCCTAATCCAGTGTTTCTCAAACTGTTTTTGAGCCGTATCCCACCTAACCCTTTCTAAAATTTGTATGCTCCCTATGTAAAATACACATAATCTTTGATATCCATTTTCCATTTTTGAATTGCCCCAAACCCCCCTAAACAATCAAATTGCCTCGCTTAACAATCAGATTGCCCCCCATTAACAATCAAATTGCCCCATAACAGTCAACTTGCCCATTTAATAATTAAATTGCCCCCCTTAACAATCAAATTTCCCCCTTAACAATCAAATTGCCCCCTTAACAATCAAATTGCCCCATAACAATCAAATTGCCCCATAACAGTCAACTTGCCCCATAACAATCAAATTGCCCCCCTTAACAATCAAATTGCCCCCTTAACTATCAAATTGCCCCCTTAACAATCAAATTGCCCCCTTAACAATCAAATTGCCCCCTTAACTATCAAATTTCCCCCTTAACAATCAAATTGCACCCTTAACAATCAAATTGCCCCCTTAACTATCAAATTGCCCCCTTAACAATCAAATTGCCCCATAACAGTCAACTTGCCCATTTAACAATCAAATTGCCCCCCTTAACAATCAAATTGCCCGCCTAACAATCAAATTGCCCCATAACAGTCAACTTGCCCATTTAACAATCAAATTGCCCCCCTCCCCCTTTAACAGTCAAATTGCTATCCTAAATCATTCAGTATAAACCCTATGTAAGGAAACACTGTCTTAGTCACTCCCGGCTGCACTGTTCTTTTCAGAAGATGATGGTCTGTTTGTGCTTTAGCACTGTTGACTCACTCCTGTTGAGGCTTGACCGTGATCTAGATTGTCATGCTTGAGTTCACCACCAGATGGTGCTGTCTGTACCAGACTGCCTGTCTGCCTGTTAATTTCCCAATATACCTGAATACCCTGGAGAAATTATCTGAAGGATGTTCACTACTTTTAGATCTCTGAGGTGATGCTTACCATGCCGTTTACCTGTGTCTACCTTACTCAGAATGCTTTGTCAAATCATCCATGTGACATGTGGATTGGCACCTGAGACAGCAGATCATGTCCTCCAAAACTGTTCTAAATACAACATGTCAAGGCAAAACTTCTGGCCAAGAGAAACACCAGTTGAAGACAAACTTTTGGGTCGCTGAGTTAATTACAAAAAACAATGAAGTTCATACAACTTTGTAGATATAGGTAATATATTTCAAGCGAACAAAAGAAGAAGAAGAATGTCAGTATTGAAGTATGTAAGAATTTGTGTCGTTAACATTTCACTGCCTGTATACTTTGGATGTTTAGTAATTTATGTTGACAATCTGTTTTATTTTGAAGAATCTGCAGACTTGTGAAAACAATCACCCTTCTGAGGTCACCCAGTGGGAGCCTTGGATTTTCTATAGTAGGTGGAGCTGACTGCAGCCATGGAAACCTTCCCATATTTGTTAAATCTGTTGTCCCAGATACACCAGCTGCCAAGGATGGTCGCCTTCGGTGAGTGCATATGTTTCCTTTGTTTCCTGGTCTTTTAGTCTTCAGTTTTTTTATTAGCTGATTATTTCAGTCAAAGAAGGCTCTTTTTTCTTCTGCTTGTTCTTCTTCTCCTCTTCCTCTTCTTCTTCTTCTTCTTGATCTATCTGCTGCTTAGTTTACATCAGCATGTTAATAAGATAAACTTTCAATTTTCCTCCTACATTTATCAAATAATCTACTGATGAAATCTGCTTTACTACAGTATAATGTCCTTTCCAACAATCCAGTAGGTAGTTAGTTTTGTCCGGTAGTAGGATCAAAACTTCTTCGTTCGGTTTCAAAGCTGCTAATCGCCTGTTCTGGTTTGCATATCGACGATGTTGCATTCCTGCCATCTCAAGATTTTTCCTGGCTATCTGACAGGCTGTGATGACTCTGTGTTGCAGTTGTGTCACACATTCTGCATACATTTTAGCGGTGTCTTTATGTTTTTATTTAGTCCACATTAGTTTCAAGATTGTCATGGGTCCTCTCGGATTTGCTCCGTACACAAGTTCAAATAACGAGAACCCTGTTGCAGCCTGTGGCACTTCCCTGTAAGCAAAAAGAATGGCTGGAAGGTATTTATCCCAATCCTGTGGGAATGCTGCTGTTACTTTTGCTAGCATCTCTTTCAATCGGCTGTTAAAATTCTCTATATCTTCTAATGATACTAATGATACTAACTTGTGAACTGTTTACAGTCTTCTAATAATGCTACTTTGTGAATTGTTCCCAGATGTGGCGACATCCTGCTGACCGTGAACGAACACAGCTTACGGGCAATCACTCACACGGCCGCCGTGGAGATTCTCAAACATGTAGATGGTGCTGTCACCCTGACGGTGGTCTCCTGGCCTGGCACTGCTGTATGACAATAGGAGGCTTCTCATGTCACATTTTATTGTGCCCAAGCTGCCTTGTGGAGAATAACCTGAAATTTGACAGACTGACTGCATTTATTGATGAGGGATGTCTCTCCGCTTTTGTACATTTAAATTTCTGTCCCTTTGAATTACAGTATTTTTTTTAAATGTTTTGTATTTCTCATATTTCTTTCTTCTTTATTTTCTCCTAGCCTAAAATTGTATAGCTATATTGTTTTATTAGTTACAGCTTTGCATTTGTAGATTAATTACATTTAATTTTAGGAGGTGAAAGATTATTTGCATCATCTTTATTAATCTTTATGACATCTGCTTTCCACATATCAGGGACCAAACAGAAATTGTCCATTTTCCTGTGCTTACTGTTTATGAGTCAGTATCTGCTATCTTTACCCTTCATTTATTAACTGTCGCTGTGCCTATTTTCATTTTCCTTATATCTCTGACTTACTCTACCCCTACATGTATTATCCCTACCCTTGTATCTACTGTATTTGTCCAGCATCTACTGTTCTTGAACCTTTGTTGTCCATACCTGTATATCTAGCGAATCTGGCCTAGCATCTACTGTTCTTGAACCTTTGTTGTACATTCCTGTATATCTAGTGAATCTGGCCCAGCATCTACTGTTCTTGAACCTTTGTTGTACATTCCTGTAAATCTACTGTATTTGGCCCAGCATCTACTGTTCTTGAACCTTTATCGCCTATTCCTCTATATCTACTGTATCTGGCCCAGCATCTACTGTTCTTGAACCTTTATTGTCCATTCCTTTATATCTACTATATTTGACTCAGCATCTACTGTTCTTGAACCTTTATTGTCCATTCCTCAGTATCTACTGCTCACCACTCTTTTTTCTGTCTACTGCCATGTCAATGTTTCTAATTTCTACATGCCTTATCTGCTGTCTAAACCATTGTAAATGTTATGTTCTTTGTATCTGTTGCTCATCTGAATCATGTTAAATCTTCTCTGTTGCTCATCTGAATCATGTTAAATCTTCTCTGTTGCTCATCTGAATCATGTTAAATCTTCTCTGTTGCTCATCTGAATCATGTTAAATCTTCTCTGTTGCTCATCTGAATCATGTTAAATCTTCTCTGTTGCTCATCTGACTCATGTTAAATCTTCTCTGTTGCTCATCTGAATCATGTTAAATCTTCTCTGTTGCTCATCTGAATCATGTTAAATCTTCTCTGTTGCTCATCTGAATCATGTTAAATCTTCTCTGTTGCTCATCTGAATCATGTTAAATCTTCTCTGTTGCTCATCTGAATCATGTTAAATCTTCTCTGTTGCTCATCTGAATCATGTTTAATCTTCTCTGTTGCATCCTTTATCCTTGTCTTTTCTCAATTTTCTGTTTCTGCTCCGGTTATTACTGAGTATAGCTTTTTGTGAGACCATATTACTGAATATTTTGTTGTTGTTTGAGATCATGTTACCGAGTTTAGCTTTTGTGTCAGATCATGTTACCAAGTTTGCTTTTGTGTGAGATCATGTTCATGCATGTGGTCGCATTAATTTTTTTTTATAATATAGTAACACATTTACTTGTTTGTTAACTTCTTTGTCTGCCAGAGTGAAGTTGTCTTTTTGTTTTGTTTTAACCTTCTCTTTTGTGTTTTTATTAATGTTTATGTGTTTCTGTCCTTCTGCACATAAGGGACAAGCTAAACAGAATTGTCAGCAATTGACAGACCGTAGTATTCATCCCCCAGTGTGTAACAGTTTTTTTTTTTTTTTTTCCCAATTTACTATGTCTATGTCAGTTTTTATTTGTACTGTTATTTATCTTAACTATCAGATTAGTTGTGTTTGTTTGCTGAACAAATTTATATTGTGGTAATTTGTCTTGGATGTGTTTTTAGTGTTGTTATTTTACCCCTTCAGTTATTTTTTTTTTCAAACCAATAATTTGTTTTCGCCAGTGCTTCTATTATCTCCAATATACTTGTCTGTGTCTCATCTCTTTCTCTATTTTTTTTTAAAAACTGTTTGTGTTTATTGTTTTTTTTTTTTCTTGCTGTTGTCTTCAGCCTGTAGTGGAAAATCCCGAATGTTCTCTTAGGTTCCTTGAGAGGCCTATCCGGTGTCATAATGTGGCCTTTTTTTCACAATACATTTGGTGTATTTTGTGAACACACACAGACAGACGACACACACGCACAAAAACATTTCCTGCAACCATTGGTGTCATTGGCTATAATGAAACCACACCTGTCTGTCAGTGTACAGGGTACTGTGTTTCATTTCACATGAGTCTTCAGTGTATGAATTTTGCAATAATGTCGCCCAGTTCTTTGATACCCATGTACTCTCAGGGCTACATGTCTCGTGTCTGCAGCAGCTGATGCTGTTTTGTTGTGTGTACTGGTGGGTGTGTTAGCTACCTGCTCTCATGTGAGAATAGCAAACCTGTCAATGTGGACCATTTGAGGTTGAACATTTTTTGTGAAATTATGTATGTGAAAAGTATAGCAGTATGATATGTGTATGTAAAAAGTATAGCCGTATGATATGTGTATGTGAAACTACAGCAGTATGATGTGTGTATGTGAAAACTACAGCTGTATGATGTGTGAATGTGAAAACTACAGCAGTATGATGTGTGTATGTGAAAACTACAGCTGTATGATGTGTGAATGTGAAAACTACAGCAGTATGATGTGTGAATGTGAAAATTACAGCAGTATGATGTGTGTATGTGAAAACTACAGCTGTATGATGTGTGTATGTGAAAACTACAGCAGTATGATATGCCTATGTGAAACTACAGCTGTATGATGTTTGTATGTGAAACTACAGCTGTATGATGTGTCTATGGTCTGTGTGCCCAGAAAAGCAAGAAATCCAACCTTATATCTCCCTGGACACATGAAGTGGAAACAAAGGAAGAAAAAAAGGAACATACATGGAACGGTTTGTCCAGACTGTTTGTATCAGCTACATACAGGAGACAATTTGTCCAGACTGTTTGTATCAGCTACATACAGGAGACAATTTGTCCAGACTGTTTGTATCAGCTACATACAGGAGACAATTTGTCCAGACTGTTGGTATCAGCTACATACAGGAGACAATTTGTCCAGACTGTTGGTATCAGCTACATACAGGAGACAATTTGTCTAGACTGTTTGTATCAGCTACATACAGGAGACAATTTGTCCAGACTGTTTGTATCAGCTACATACAGGAGACAATTTGTCTAGACTATAAATTTAAAAAAAAAAAAAAAAGGGAAAGATTTTTTAAATTTTCATTTTTTTTTTTTTCCATTAGAAAGCCAACCCCACTCAAACCACTCTTTTCCTGTCCTGAGTAAACAAATGTATTTTCTGTCCTGGTCGTGAAGTGGCCTTGACCTGCCAATGTTAAGAAATTTCTAGTATATCTATTTTGTTTCTTTCAAGTTCTCTGCCAGCGATAGTAATCTTTTCCCTGATACATGCTCCTAACATTCTGTGTTCCCAATTTCAGTTTTCTTTAGCCCAGTGACAGAGTTTTCCCATTGCTGTACTGTCAGGCTTAAGGTTGTCATTATCTCCCCCGGTTCATGCTTGAAATCTGCCTGTCCTCGAGTCTCCACCATCAGATCCCTGAGTTTCTATTTTTGGCTTCCATGATAAGTTTCTTGGGATAATAATGTGGTAGTTTCCTCTTGCTTTCCACACATCCTGGATTAGGATGCAAAATCTGGATTTCAGAAATGAACAGATAAAGACCTCCCAGCTCTGTGTACTTCAGTTACTATTTAACTAACGACGGGGTGCTGAAGGTGATCAAATATATATGTTGATTACAGAATAAACTGGCTCAAGAGGGTGAGATGCAGAATATTGGATTCAGATATAAAGACTGTGACTTTCTGCCTCTGTGTACTTCACTTATTATTCAGCTAACTGTGAGATGTAAAAGCTGATCTGGGTATATGTTGAGAACAGAATAAACTGGCTCAAGAGGTCAAGAATGTCATGTCATGTGTTGAGATGCAGAATGTTGGATCAAGATATAGACTATGACTCCGTTCTGTATACCTCACATGTTATTTAACTAACAGTGGGGGAAGGGGGGGGGGGGGGCAGATGCTGATCAAATGTATATGTTGGTTACAGAATAAGCAAGATGAAGAGGGCAAGAATCTCAAGAAATGTCCTATGTTGAGATGCAGAATATTGAATTGAGAGGTAATAATACAACATTATGAAATAGGTTGCAGGTGCTGTCTTGTAAAAAAAAAAGATATTTTATTGGATTTGAAAGAAATGTCTGGACTTGAGATGTGTATGTATGTTGTTGAGAGATGTAGTGCCCTAGGGTTGACATTTATTGCTTGCCAAGGAAATGTAAGGTAAATGCCTTTTGTTGAAAGTAAATGACTTGGGCTTGTAGTATGGTGAAGTGACAGTTGGGTTGAAATGTATTGTCAGTAAATTCAAAGGAGGTTGGGGTGCAGCGTATTCACGGATGACTGTGAGAGTATTATGTGGTGAGGTCCCAATCTCTTCCACACTGCCGCTGTCTGATAGCCATGAAAATAGTCTTTTTTTTTTCTAAAGTGCCCAATGCAGGAATCAAACCCTTATAAACGTCAAGAGTATTGTCCATAATGGAGGTGTATGTAAAGTCTTTTATTGAAATATGTGTGGGACCACAATTTAATGTTGTGTTTTTGACTGAGATTAAATAAGGTTGTAATATAATGCCAATAACTTGAATATAATGTCTTGCTGCAGAGTATTGTATTTTTCTGACTACTTTGAAAAACAAAACAAAAAAAAGCAAAAACTGATCTCTTGTTTGGCTATCTTTTTCCCCCCGAAAGCCAATATTTTTGTATATATTTTCTTTTTCTGTTTACATATCACATTATGTCTTGCTTGGCTATGAGATGTATGATTTTATGTTTTGTAATAACGTAATGTCTTATGGTTTTGTGGATATCACATAATCTTGTTTTAAACCTGGCAAAAGTCTTGACTTTA